TATCCCATTCATTCCAGACTTGTATACTTACCATCAGTGATACTGTTCTTGAGAAGAGAGTCAGCTGAATTAGCACGAACCAATGGACCTGAAGGTGGAATCGCATCAGACGCTAAAATTAAGCAAAAACAAATTAAACTTGCAAATATACAGACACAAGAGACTAAAAATACCTTCAATCAGAACATCACCATTCATAGCAAACAAAACATAATACAAGTATCAGTAATTCCAAATTTTACACATAAAAGTGTTGATATGATTACATTATCAGTAACAGTGATATGATGTATTTATTTATTTATTTATTGCGGAAAGCCTATCTTTGAATTAACACACATGCCAGGAATAATGAATATGTAAAACAGTACAGGTATATTGAGAATAATCTAAACTATATTTATGTTTGCACACAATATGTATACAAAGTATACATATATTGTGAAACATTACTTTCCATGAGAAAATAAATTTTCAAAAGAAAAAATCACATTTGTGAAGTTTATTCCTGTATGCCTGTGAATTATAAAATTGTGAAAATTCTAGTCGCAACTTGGTATTTAAATGTAAGTCATCATTTGATGATCGATAAAAACAAACAGTCATGTATTTTGGACCATATCGTTGCATCATGAATTGCACATGCATACCGGTAACCCAACATATTTACTCAAACTCAATTTATATCCCATAATATCCATGTTTGTGAAAAATACAGTACACCCAGATTATAAATTAATAAATATAGTATCCAAAAAATAAAAAGATTTCATAAACAAGCAGCAATGCACATTGCAATTAAAGAACAGAAGATATCATTAGAAAATGAACAATATGCATAGTATCAAAGCAATCGAACTTGCTGTTTTCAACAAAAATTCAAAAATATCACTTTTCACCAAAAATGACAAAAATATTCATCAAAATTAAAGAATAGAAGATATCATTATGAAATGAACAAATCTGAGAGTGGTCCACATGTAGTACCTATATATGTAATATCAAAGCAATTAGACTTGTGGTTTTTAACAAGAAGTTGAAAATATTACTTTTCACCAAAAATGACAAAAATATTCACCAAAATTAGAGAATTGAAGATATCATGAAATGAACAAATGTAAGAGAGGTCTACCCAAGGTACATATACACCAAGTATCAATAAGCATTGAGGCTTGTAGTTTTCAAGAAGAAGTCAAAAAAGTAAAACATTGACACGGACGACAATGAACGCTCCGCTCGACAAAGTCAATTCTTAAACTCATATTAGAAAAATAACAATGAATATGAAGGAACAACAAATAGAAAATATCAGTTACTGTCAATAAAATGAAATCATCTGACAGAACCACTTTCTAGGCATCTACATGGTATCCATGACAGCAATCTGATTAATGGTTTTAAGCATTGTGTGAAACATTACACCTTACATCAGTGATTCAGCAATACAAGTCAATCAATCCAGTTAAATGAAAAATCAAGGCCAGAGAACACAAGAAAAGATTAAAATTACTGGAAGGCAGGTGTTTAAAATTTCATGCAGGAAGCGTGCCCAACATGACATTAATAATCTGTTCAGTTTTACACCATAGCAATAACTTAACAGTTGTTGGCAATCATGTCAGACCTTTTGTTTTACACCTTTATAATCCTATGGTTATTTATGTTTTTAACAACCAATTATAACAGATGAGACAGCACTTGACAGATACAATTATGACATCATTAATCTGAAAAAGATCCTATCGTTTCCAGGCACAGCAAAAGACTAATTCAACCCTTTAGAAGGGTTACCTCTGGAAAAAATTACCTGCATGAAGCCAGACTGATAAATGGAACAAAAAAATACAAATTTTCCTTCCATTTACTCTTGAAACACCACATTAAACTATTGCTACCTTTCACAGAATCAACATGCATACATGGTATATTTCAAAAACTTTGATTTTGGTACAAAGTCCGAGCATAAAAAAAAGGCAAAAAGTGGTTCTGCGATTTTTGAGAAATGCAATTTAAATTGTAGGAGGGCTCTGACAGAAAACAAAAACCTACAAGTAAAAATAACAGAAAATATAAAAAAAAAATCGCACATATATGACAGCTAGGGGAAAACATCAAAAATAGTTTACAACAAAATTATCCTGAAAAAAAGCAACTATAGGTTAAAATTAATTGAAAGGTGAAACAACTACTACTGATATGAGCAAAGATAATAGAAATGTCTTACATGAAGTATAATACACAACACACTGAACTCCTCCTGACAGTCTCTTGATAAAATATAAATGCCGTAATGATAGATAATTGGCACCCATATCCGAAGACAATATCAGAGCAGGTAGAAACGATAAAACTCAGTCAACTATTAGGGCACCAGCTGTTTTAAATCAATGTTGATTACGCAGGGGTATCGTCATCACAGAAATTAGGACCCACGGCTAACTAGGTATTAGGTGGAATACAAGTGGACTGTTCCATTCATGAAGTGAGGGGTGATAAGCTTAAATGTGAATGGGCTATTATTTATTATTAAGCGTGTCAACAGCGCATTGTACAGCGACATCAAATACCTAAATACATGATTTTCAAGTAAATATGGACAGTAAGTAAATAAACTAATGGTAACTATGGTAACTAATTATTCTGGTC